CACATTTTCAGTTGAGCATTGCCAAAATTTCAGTAGCAAGTAATTCAATTAAAAACACAGTTTCTTTCCAATGAACTAGGATAAACTGTTAGTATAAATGACACAAAACAGCACATACACTGAAATTTTTTTAAAATAATGGAATATGTAATTCGGGGAAGTATTTAAACTTGTCCCTACTTCCCACTTACCTATTTTGCTCTTTATTTGTATATGCAAGTATATTGTGTTTTCATATAAAAGAAATTGTGCAATACTTGTAACCCTCTTTTTGGTTTATGTCTTGTACTGAGTAACTACTTTGAAAAAGCATAATAACTATTGCTATCCCCTTATTATTTGATGATGAAATTTTGTTTCATTTTTTCTTAAATTAAAACATAATTCAGGCCGGGCGTGGTGGTGCATGCCTGTAATTCCAGCACTCGGGAGGCTGAGGCAGGAGGATTGTTGTGAGTTTGAGACCAGCCTGAGCTACAAAGTGAGCTCAAGGCCAGCCTGAACTGCATAGTGAGACCCTGTCTCAAAAAGAAAAAAAAAAAAAAATTCAGATCAATACCCAGAATTTGAGAAATATGGAAAAAAAAGAAAAAGAGACAGATGAGGCAAAGAAGGGGGGAGAGAGAGAGAGAGGGAGGAGATGAAGAAGAGGAGGAGGAGGAAGAGAGGAAAAAACAAGAGAAAAAAAGATTTTGTCTCTTAAAAAAACTGATTTTGTCTCTTAAATCAGACAAAAGCAGTTAAAGAAAAGAAGAATATAGGTCAAAGTCTCTCATGAGTAAAGAAGCAAAAAATTCAAAACAAAATCTGACCAGATAGAATCCAGATGTGCAGCAAGTGTGTATTTAAACAAGCTAGTTTTTCCAAGGTATGCAGGAGAATGTGACATTGAAATAAGCAATAAGTGTACTAAACACAGTAGGAAAGAAATCTTGGGAATGGAATACCACCCTATGATACAGAAAATGAGCCTCTGATAAAAGTCAACCTGATGGCTGGGCATGGTGGTGAACACCAGTAATCCTAGCACTCTGGAGGCTGAGGCAGGAGCATCACCACCAATTCAAGGCCAGCCTGGGCTACATAGTGAACTCAAAGCCAGCCTGAACCATACAGTGAGACCTTACTTAAAAAAAAGGTGGGTGTGGTGGCACATGCCTGTAATCCCGGCACTTGGGAGGCTGAGGCAGGAGGATTACTATGAGTTCAAGGCCAACCTAGGCTACATAGTGAGTTCAAGGCCATCCTGGGGTACATAGTGAGTCTCTGTTTCAAAAAAAAGAAAGTCAACATGCATTGACAATGAAAACATAAAACACAAAACAGAATCATAAGGGAATTTTCTTAGCCTAGAAAAGGACATTTTGAAAAAAGTGACAGCAAATAGTCTTAAGTAAATTAGAGTACACGTTATGAAACTGAGGCACAAGAAAATATCTTCTAACGTTTCCACTCAACACGGTGTTACTATAGGCTCCATTGTAAGCAGGCAACAGGATAAAGTGTGAGAACTGAAAAGGAATAAATTTTTCTTTACTCATAATGACTTTTTATATAGGATCTATATATGTATACAAAAATATTAACAATACTAAAGACTTAAGTAACCAGAAGCAAGATCAATATAAAAAGTCAATTGCATTTTGTACATTTTAGTAATACAACATTTTCCAAAGGTACCAAAAAACAAAGATAACTAAAGATAACTAGGAACAAATTCTACAAGTTGTACAAAAGAATCCAGTAAAGGCAAAAACTTAAATAGAAAAGAATAAGACACATCAATATTGATAAAGACACAACACTCATGCATAGGAAGGCTCAAAATCACAAAAAAAATTAAGTGTTTTTCTTGATTGGCCTACAATTTAATGAAATACAAATACATTTTCAATGTGTGTTTCCTGCTGTTGGTTTATGGCTGTTATTCTCAAAAGTGAACCCTAAACTTCCACAGAAGGAAAAAGGCAAACACGAACAAACAAGAACCAGAACCTTCTTTTTTGTCGTTTTTGTGTTTTTGAGACAGGGTCTCACTATACAGTTCAGGCTGGCCTTGAGCTCACTTTGTAGCCCAAGCAGGTCTCAAACTCACAATGATCCTCCTGCCTCAGCCTCCAGCACCTTCTTTGAGAGAAACAAATATAAGGCTTTTTCAAGAGTGGTAGGAACTGAGAATAAATTGCACTGATGTGGAGAAGGGAAAGTTAACCAAGGGATGAAATAGACAATCACAAGAATATATGGATATTTGACCAAAAATAGTGGTGCTTCAGATCAATGGAGGAAAAAAAATTGTTCCATAAAGGACATTATCTTTCATTAGCAATAAAAATGCTATCAGATTCCCACATCACATGAAAAAATTAATTCTAAATCATTTTAAACTATTAAAAGAAAAGTCAGCAATTTATAGTCACAAAATATAGAACACTATCTTGAATATAAGGCCCTAGCTACCAAAAAGTCCTTAAAAAGACACTTTACACAATATGACTATATATGACAGGAACCAGGAGGTCATATTTTGAACACAGGAAATGAACAACAGCCCTTAGAATATACAAAGAGTGTTTTCAAATCGATGAGAAAAATACAATCCAATGGAAAACTAGGCCAAAGGCACAAATACTGTTAACGTTTCATAACAGTCAAAGCAAATTGTCATTAAACTCATGAAAAGAAGCAGGACATTATGGGTATTTTAAATTCAGCTTAGTGTTAACTTGATAAGAATTAAGAAATCTAGTAATGTCACATATGGGGATAACAAAAGCATAACTCTTAAAGGAAACGTTTTCACTGGTGATGACTATCTTTACTCATAGCACCACAGTTTGGAGATTTCTGTGGTGTTTTCTTGTAAAATGTGATCATTAATTTCACCTTTCTTTTGCTCAGCAGCTCTTCTTAGGTTTTTAATCAAGACAGTAAGTGCATTTATGGACCAACGACATGTACCAGAATATTACAGCAGCTGCTTTGCAACAGCAGCTGAAAATAGCCTAAGATCCCCTGACAAGATAATGTATGAATTGCTCAATAACATTTGTATCAAATCTGATACGTAACTGAACTGAATCAATATAGATACATAGGACAAGGTGATTAGATCATAAACAGAGAACACAGAATGACAAGGTCACTTATATTATGATATCATTACTAATGACTGAAATAATACAGTCTAATAATAGAGATAGCCTAAAATATCAAGGGAAGATTGGTAGGTAGGTTAGGGTAATGTTGGACTTCATGGCTGTAAAATGTTAGAGGAGACGCACACCAATGCAACAATGTATACGAGTTTCCTAGGTACAGATAACATCAAATCTTTAAAACCACCGCTTAGAATAGTAAAGTCTTATGCACACTGTCATTGCTGGGACACTATACCTGACGCCCACACATTTTATAGGAGGAAAGGTTTATTTTGGCTCACGGTTTTAGAGGGTTCCCTCCACGGTTAGCTGGCTTCAAGGCAGAAATATCTGGCAGAAGGGCATGGAGAAAACTGTTCAACCCTTGCTAGCGGGAAGCAGAGAGAGAAGGGAGGAGCCAGGGACAAGAATGTACCCTTCCGGGTCACACTCGGGTGACCACCTCCAACCAGGCCCCACCTCCTAACATATTCAGCTGTGTCTTAGTTACTTTTCTCTCATTGCTCAGACAAAATATCCTACATCCAAGTGTTATGGTTTGTGTCTAGATGTCCCTCCAGAGCCATAAGTGGTCACAGAGTTATTTGGAGGTGGCTGAATCTAGAGCATGTGATTGATTTGTAGGGCAATGCTGGGATTTAGGGGGTGGGGATTAAGGCTGGGTGATTGCTGGATCAGTTCACTGGATGGATTGGCATCACCCTAATTTTGGTAGACTGGATACAATATGAAGGACAGAAAGAGGTCTGTCTCTCTCTCTTTGCTTTTGGTGTCTTCCACTGCCAGGAACTGGCAGAGCTGCCCCTCTGCCATGTGCCATGCTGCCTTGGAACCAGCTGAGTATGGTAAATGGTAAATGGTTGTCCCTCAAACACAAAGATTACAATGAAAAACAAAGCTCATGACTGGATTCCAAAAACCCACTACTGCCTTTCAGCAAAGTTTAAAGAAAGCATAGCTTGGAGGTTCCTGCCAAGTTCAAGGCTTTAGGAAAGAAGCCTTGGAAAATATCCACACCTCTCCCGCTCCATCACCCTGGCCAGGACTCACTTCTGTGCAGAGAAGGCCAGATCTGTCCCCATGGTGCTCCTGACACAGAGGTCATCCTCCAACTTCTGCACCCAGAAGGACTTTCCCCAGACATTGGACTTGGAATTTACTCTCTATCCTACTGGCAGTTTCCTGATTTCCTTGGAGTCCATGAGACATACCAAGGATCTTGGCAGATACAAGAAACTGCAGATGCTCAAGTCCTTCCTATCAAACCTAGACACCTCCTCCCACACACTTTTCATCATCTCCAGATTCTTATAATAACCAATGTAACACAAACACCCTGTAAATCATTGTCAGACTGTTTCCTTTAAGAAACAATGACAAGAAAACACTGGAATGTTCACTATAGATAGAATTTTTTCAAACATTTTTGATATGCTATGAGTTGAATCCACAAACATAGAACCAATAGATACAGAAGGCTGTACTGTGAAAACCTGTCATCTCCATTTCAAGTGCTCTAAAGTAGGATCCTCCCTCCCTGCTTTCTGGAACAACTGGTGGACAACACTTGCCGCTTACCATTAATCTTTACATTTGGTTCTCATGGACTATAGCAAGTTTATCACAACAGGCTCTTCTTGCTGAATTTTCAAAACTTCTAATCCCACTTTACTTTCTTTTTAGGCATATTGGTGATGGAGTCCTAGGGACTGACTTAAGCCTGAACCACTGTGTTCAACTTGTGTTAGGCAAAAAGAACCCAAGAGAGATTTCTGCGACACTGCATGGTCATTTTGCTTGGCCAGCATCTCCAAGGATGGAACCCAGGGCCCCTGTTACCTCTTTCCTGCCCCCACCAAACTCATCCACTACTGGACTTCATGCGTTGTTCCCAAACTCCATATAGCCATCCACTTGTTCTTTGACACATGTGTCCCCTCCCACAGAGGGGCAAAGTCACTGCTGGAGCTCATGACCTCTCTTGAGGCACACAAAGCACCAGCTGCCACCACATAAAGGGGCTTCTCCAAACACAACATCCAGAAACACCACCACCCCACTCCCAATACCTATACCCATCTGGATTCTTCAGGGTCTTGCAAACTTCAATCATTTACACTCTGAATCAACACAGTTTCCAAGATTTCCTAAGCCTGTCTGCTGGCCTTGTCTTGGGACTCATTCATCAGGCACAAGGTCATATGAGGCCTGGAGGCTGGGTGTCCGGGGCCCACTCCAACCATCTTGAGCAAGCCTCCTTTGGCCTCAGCTTGCTCAGCTGGAGGGTGGGAAGCTCTGCCCCTCACACAACTTTGCTGATAAAAGCTGATAAAACAACATATGGAGGTTCATTTATGAACTCCAAGGGAGGTACAAGTGGTACCCTTGAGTAGGAACCTAGGAGTTGTTTCCTGTGGTTCTAGGCTTTCAGACAGTGACCAAGACTATTCTCTAAGAGCCTGAGAATAAAATGAACCTTCTTGTAATGCTATGATGGAAGACATCCCCTACTCCTACAGCCAAATTCCTACAGCCCTCCATCATCATAATATCCGCTCTGCAGAGACCAGAATGTATATGGCCATCTAAGCGCTAGCCCTCCTTGCCGCTGTAACGGTGCTGTCTGACACCGGCCTGTACCCTTTATGGCTTCCAGGTGTGGCACGGCTGCACCAGACAGGCACACAGCAACCTCCCTCAGGCCTCCCAGTGGGGCCTCAAGACATCTTTTCATTTGCTTTTAGTTCTTAGCCTGCTACAATTTGAAGGTGTCTTCTAAAAGCCCATGTGCCATAAACCTGCTGACCAAGCTGATACACTGCTGGCTCTGGAGAGGACCTGGGGGAGGTGTTAGGAGAAGACGAGGCTAGGACAGTTGGGTCCCCAGCATGGCTTAGCAGGAAGAGGAAGTGAGATGCCCATTTTGCAAGGTCCTTTTGTGTCACCAAGTGATGCCCTCTGTTGTGTCACAATGAAGGAAGTGCATTTGGTACCTGCCCTTAGGCTTCCCAGCTTCAAAAACCACAAGCTAAGGAAAGGACAGGTTTTGTAACTTAGCCAGTCTCAGAGTATTGTTAAGGTGACAGAAAAACCAAGTAAGTCTTGGCCCATAATATTCAAGTTACTAATATTTCAGTGCCACTTACCCCTTACGAACATCTCTATCCTGCAATGTATCTGACCCTCACTAAGGATTCCTGACAGTCTTATTTTACAATGAAGTCCAGATTTTATATAAATGTTCCCCAAGATTTCCTGTGGCAGGGAGGGCTTCTGGCCCTCAATTTGCACCTCTGCATTACCTCATGGGGACCTCCATTTGGCCTGAAGCCAGAAACTTTCCTGGGTTTTCTTTTCTTTCTCTTTCTTTCTTTCTTTCTTTCTTTCTTTCTTTCTTTCTTTCTTTCTTTCTTTTTTTCTTTCCTTCTTTCTTTCCTTCTTTCTTTCTTTTCTTTCTTCTTTCTTCCTTCCTTCCTTCCTTCCTTCCTTCCTTCCTTCCTTCCTTCCTTCCTTCCTTCCCTTTCCTTCTTTCTTCCTTTCTTTTCTGTTTCTGGCTTGGGTACAGCTTAAAATAAGTCTAGAAACACACACTGTCCCTTTGTACATTCCCCAACTGACCCTAACCTTAAGTCTAGCATGTGAATTTCAAATACATAATTGAAAAAATATAACTCCTGGCATCCTGAAAACATACTTTTAAAAATAAATCAACCACAGTTGAAAACAAAGTTAATTTCTGGCATATCACTTATATTTAGTACTCATAAACCTCTCTGACAGAAATTTTATAACATATCTTTATCCCTGTGAAACTGTATTGCCATTCTCATGCTACCAAGAATTTTTCAGTCTACATAGTATCACCTGATTCTTTGTCTATATTTTATTACTGGAAAGTTTTAAATTTGTTTTTGAAATTACAAAGAATATTTATTAATTTTTTAAAAATTGTTACCATATGGCTGTAAACATAAAAAATTACTATAATTATTATATTATACAATTAATCAAAACAACATAAATATAATAAAATTGATGTATGCTTCTTAGATCTAAAGGGTAAACTTCTATTGAAAAATAAAGAATGGCACAAACTAAACTAAGGAAAAGAGCTTATAAAATAAGTACATGAATCCAGTGCAGGCAAAAAACAAAATTTAAAGAGAGTGGAGGGGGCCGGGGATGCAGCTCAGTGGCATAAGCACTTGCCTGGCAAGCCCGAGGCATGAGTTCCATTCCTGGTACCAAAAAAAAAAAAAAAAGAGTGGAAGGTAAGAGGGAAAACAATAATTGAGATGTCTTAGTATGTGCAACAATTTTCCACAGTGAGTGTAATTATGTACTGCAAACATGTACTAATAAAAATGTTTTTAAACTTTTAAAGAATTAACTCAAAAATTAAAAATGATTTGGGTTTTTTTGTGAAGTTTTGATGCCCAATAGATAAGTATTACTGACGTTCACAATGAGGTCCGATTCACAATCACTTTATCTTTTCTGAGATATAACAACGTAACTACCTTTTCACATCAGTACATAGATAAGACGGATGATGTGTGGTAAAAGAAAGCTCAACCGTGAACTTTTTCCACGTATAAGCCCTAAGTCCCAGAATAACAAAATAGAAACTAATTTCAGTGATCAGCTGACAATCTAATCTGCAAATTTTCCTACAAAATAAAACCTTTGGAAATCACCACAGATACACAGGAATTTAATACCAAGACATTATTCATTTAAGGCTTAATTTCTGGGAAACACACCAAAAAGGCTGCAGGAAGAGTTTATAAATAACTTAATTATACTCATTACTTGTCCCCTTAGAAGTACCTTGTTTAAGTCAACATACTCAGGAAGAGCTTGGAAAGAAATATCCTAACATGTGATTTTACTATAAAAATGCTCCAACTACATATTTGTCAATTTTATTTGCAGATTTAGGTAATTCCAATAAAAGAAGCACCAAAGAGATTTTCACAGTCAAACCAAATAGACCAACCAGACCTACCTTCTACCAGTAGAGGGTTGTATCTTATTTTAAAATTCAAATAAAAGTTTTTATGTATGTGCATATATTTTATTTTATATAGAGAGAAGTGTTTTTTAAAATAATGCAGTATTCATGTTATAGAACACAAATCACACACTAAAGTCAGGATAAAAATAACATTGAGGTAACTGAATTTTGTTATGCACTTGAAAACAAATTACAAGGGCAAAGCACTAATGGTTTCCTCATTAATATTTACTAAATTGTTGTTAAATGTAGCTAAAATTAGAAGTTATCTAGGAAGTGGAAGGGCTGCCTGACATCTCTTTGGTGAATGTGTGTGAATCCCTGGGACACTGTCTTGTTAGCTTTTGGAGAAAAACATGAACCAAACTGCCTGGGCCTGGTGGTACAGGTCTGTAATCCCAGATTCAGGAGGCTGAGGCAGGAGGATCATTGTAAGTTCAAGGTTAGCCTGTGCTACATGGGGAGAGTTCAAGGCCAGCCTGGACTACATAGTAAGACCCTGTTTCCAAAAAAAAGAACAAAATTGTAATTTTAAAAATCAGGGAGAAATGCATAATTTGTCCTTTTATGTCTTTATTTCTTCCAGCTGCCCATACTACTAGTAGTGTTCAGCAAACCTAGTCACTCAATCCACTCAGAATCCCCCTGGGCCCTGTGTCTCCTTTGCTGCCCGTGAGCCTATGAGCTCGATTCTAATTCCTGAGGCTGCCAAGCGCTTAGAGTCTGGGCACTTCATGAGGCGTCTGTCTCTGGGCCTCTCCTCTCCCCTCAGCAAGCTCAAGGTCTTGGATGTGAGAGGAATTCATCCTCCAACGCTCGGCAGCTATTTCTCACTGCTGCCCTTTGACTCTGGGTTGGGCTCAAGTTTGGAGAACCAGAGCCCACGTCTTGGGCCTGCTAACATTGCTCAAAGGCAAACAAATTTCCGAAAGCAGAAGACTGCCTGCACCTCCTCACACAGCCCTGCCTGCAGGTGACCCTGGACATGGCGGATGGTGCGACTTGACCCTGTAGGACCACTGTGTAACTTCTAAAGGATCGACACCTCTGCGCGTTCCCCAGGGGTCTCCATGCTTCAGCGGGGTTCTTGTGAGCCCCAGAACCCTCACACAGCCGGTCTGAGCAGTGTGTTCATGCAAATGGCCCAAAGCCTTCCAAAGCACCCCAAAATGATCACAACAAAAAACGAACTGAGCGACTGTAATCCTCGCAGCCGAGGATCTCAGAGCAGAACATCCAACGTCAGCTTCATTCTGAACCCAGGAATGCTGGCCGCACTGATGTTCTCATTTCTGGCTGATGTTTTCAAATGACCTTTGCCCTACAGGACAAGCAGCCCAGAGCAGCTCTGTCACATCCAGGGAACAAACAGCTGCTGTTCTCCGAGACCCAGCTGTTCCCAAGGCAGAATCACGCGGACGGCCGAGCCAACGTTCCTTTTTTAACCAATGATGGGGAGAAGAAACCAAATCAAAAACTTCTTTTTGATTCAGCTATTTCAATCACAGAAGCATGAATTGGGGGTGTTTACAGCCAAAAAAGCTGTTGTGCTTCAATCCTAAACATTTAAAAATATCTTTGTTTGTTCTGGAATGTCATTCGCTGGTATTTGGGCCTCTTCTACATGAATCTTTTGTGACTGCGAAGCCGTTTCATAGCTCTTGGACTCTGCCTGGGACAGATTCCCAAACAGAAGGTTCTGGGCTGGGGCAGGGAGACCCCGTGGGCAGACTCACGAAGGAATCTGGACTCCATGTGCCCCTGGACTGTGCTTTCCACGGCTCTGATCTTTGCCCTGGGAGCTGACCGACAGGCTCGCTGGAAGACAGGGATATGATCATCCTGTAAGGTTAAGGTCAAAAGAAAATCAAAGGTCACCATGCACCGACTGTCCAAGCAGTGGCAGAGGGGGAAGCAGTTTCAAATGACAACTTTCACTTTGTCACCTTCCCGGCCATGTGACTTG